CAAAATTTAGCTTTGTTAATAAAGATCAAGAATTTTACAAGATATCGAAGTGTTTACAATGAGTTCGGCTAACCGTCAACCGTACACATATAAAATCACGTTGAAAAAAATTACCAGTGATAGCTGAGCAATGAGTTACTAACAAGGGACGCTCACGACCAGTACCCACTATATTTTTTAGAAACTACTAGGACCCTAAATGAAGGTTCCATTCTTATTTCCGTGTAAAACTCATATTTGGCGCCGTGGCGTGGCGCCAAATTCGCCAAATTTGTAGGTTTTTATTTTTAGAACGGCTATAATTTTTGAAATCCTGGGCTGATTTTCAAAAAAATTTCCAAAACTCATGAAAAAGAGTTCAACTATCGCATGCCATCAAGTTTTTCAAAATATTGATTGTTTCAATTTTTGTCAAAATTTTGAGATTTTCTTAAGGTGGATTTCCACCGGCGTGAGTTGTGAGCGACCTAGAGCGGAAAATGTCCGACGAGTCATTTCCACCAAAACGGACAAAATCCGCTCTACGCGCGAGTAAGCCGAGTGGAGCGGATTTTTTCATCTCATTTCCACCAACCGACTCATCTCAGCGCAAACGATCCGCGCTGACGAAAAAACTGTGAGTTGGTGAGTTGAACTTGGTTCAACTTTTTTTCGTCCGCTCGCCAAAATCTATGACAAATTCTCATCTCCTTCAGCGGAACATATGAAGTCACACATAAAATCATTTCTTATTATTTACATGTAATTAATACCACACATTTTATACAATTTGACAATTTAAATAAAACTAAAATATCGAGTGAAAGTGAGGTGGAGGAAGAAAGTGTGAACAGGGGAAGGGATAAAAATAAAGTAATGGGGGAGGAGATACCGGGCGCCCGAGAGAATAGAGTAACGAAGGTACCGAATTACTTGTAGAGACAGTGCGCTCAAAACCAATTTTTACGATGTTACGTCAAAGAATGACAAGAACTATGGCAGGGAAGAAGTTGTGTGGTTTAACGTCTCCAGCGCTGTGGGGAAGGATGGTAAGTTGCATAATTGATTTATCATGAGTCTGTGGCGCCACGATAATTCATATTAATCTTTGAAATTGCGCATTTTTGTAGTTTCTGAGTGCAAGAAAAAGTAGAAATATCTGCAAGATAATTATAACAAAGTTGTTAAAAAGACGAAGGGAAAATAGGGAAAGTCCGGAAGGAAAGAAAAACAGTGGGAGTTTTTGGAAATGCCCAACTTTGTAAATCCGTTCGTTATTGCAAATACCGAGTATGTTTACACCCACTAAATATAGATTAATTAATTATATTAATTAATTTTTGCTGCATTGGTTTCGCAGATGTTCTGGCAAATTTGGAAAAAGGCTCCGACGCCGGACGTTAGACCCGAAATTCTTGTGGCCCAGATACAGACAAGGATGACTGCTGCAAAGCCGAGACCTCATCGAAGAAACTGAAAATGTCAGAAAAAGTTTATGCGGCGTTATTGGGATATTTAGAAAAGCAGGGTGTGAAACATTTGAACCACCATTTTTGCATGGCTCTAGCAGATGATTTAAGAAAGGTGACACCAGCTCAGGCATCCTTCGCAAAAAGCAAGATTCAACAAATGATGTACGAGGTTGAATTTCCACAAAATGCAACACCGGCGCCGGTAGGACCTGATATTAATGGACGTAATATTAATGAGTAGAATTACAAAATTTCATAAACAGAGATATGCAAATCGTTCGCTTTCTGTGTTTAGGTACCAGAAGGAGGAGGAGGTGGTAATGGAACCAAGGCCGCCACAGACGGGACCAAACCCGAACTCCCCTTCCGTTTAATAATACAGTTTAATACAGTTTAATAATACAGATTTTGGACTCTTTGGTTTTAATAAAAAGATTTTCTCAAATTTGACAAATTCAAAAAAAAACTTTTGTAATTTTGACCGAGTGATTTTATGACGACACAAAATTTGGAAACATTAAAAATACGAAAAAGCGAATGTTTTCTTTATTTTATAAATGATTTATTTCTGCTTTTAATAAATATCAGTTTCGCCAAATATGTAAATATTGAGCAATACAGCATTTTGTGTATTTTATAAAGTATAAAATTTAACAGGAATTGTTAACGGGGGTGAAATTCTATTCTAAATAATATTGAATATCAGCTTCAATAAGTAAATTAATTAATTAGTGAACATTGTGAAAAACCGGAAATTAAATAAACCAACACCGGAACACAAATAACAAATTATTTGAAAATACTAAAACTTGAAAAACAACATATTTATCAAAAATTGAAAAATATTAGATTAAATAGAAACAAAATTGGGTAAGGTAACAAACTAATAAATTAAATATTTAAGGTAACCTTTGGCCACACACCGTAAAAAATAACAGGATACCTTGAAATTTAACCCCACACTTTTCAACCCCTTAATTTTGCATGACTCAATAAAATCGGGAAAACACAGAGTCAGCTTAGATACAAAATTGAACCAGAATCTTAACCGTGAAAATTATAAATATAGCATTTTTGTACATAAACTCGGTAATTATTTGGTACAAATAGTTTCAAACACTCGTAAAAGAACATGAAAAATATGATGCAATTCACGCAGTCATTTGTAACTTTGTAAAATCCGTAAACTTTTATAAAATTTGACAAATATTTCTGAGGAAAATTAGCTCCCAAATTTTTGTAAACTTGGTCAGATCAAGGGCGAATTGTGTAAAAGTTCGAATTTGCACCTAAATAAGTGCCTTGCACTTGAACTTCATCACATCTATGTATACATAAATATCAACAAAAAGGATATCTATTTCTGCACACGGTAACCATTTTGCACCAGACAACTATTTATACTTACGCAATTTAAAGTGGAATGCATTCCACAATTGCACTGATCGATCTCAAACCGTAATCAGTTTCAATAACATGATGACACACTTGCCGCAATAATCATGACCTAATACGGCACACGTCTACAGCCTGATTAGCACGTATTCTAAGTTGTACACTCTTAGAAACCTAGTATTAATTAAATACCGAGTGGTATATATATATATGTATATAGAGTATAGATACATATACTCTACCGCGTTGGCATTACCACGTACTGTCACCATGTATGTATAAATTAGGTATTAAAATAATACTTCTTAGTAATAGTTTCAATACTAATCGGTATTAAATTTTTAAATTAAATTTTTTCCAAGTTTTTTGAGGTTTGCAAGGGAAAAATGTGCATGAATCATGACGTCTGGGTCACGAAAAACAGATTTTCTCACTTTGCCCAAAAAATCTCACTTTCCCCAAAAACATCATTTCTGTAATGGTAAGAGCTAGGGGGCATGTATGATACCTCATTTTAATCAGCGTTAAATTCTGAACAAAGTGGGTGTGGTCTTAGGGGGAATTTGAGACTTTTTTGAAATTCGATAAAAACCCCCTCCCGACCGCACCCCCTTTCGAAAATCAAAATGAACCGGATTTTTATGTTCTCAGACCCCCATTGGAGGATTTTGGACCTTAAAATAATTTATTCGTGTCTGGACCCCTCTGGAAACATAGTGATATAAAGTAAGAGGAAAATGCATATATTTAGATCGGATGGATGATCTGAGCAGTGGGCTCCTCCAATAGGAGGTGTCCTCCTCCCAAAATACATACATACATACATACATACAATCATGCATCATCTACCTGCTCAGAGCGTGTTATCAATTAATTAATTAACTAAGGACTGATGAGACAGACACTTCTTATCCGCTTTTATTATTATTTACACAAACTATATCCATCCAACAATCAATCACAAGAAACCACCTAACATGCACTGTCATCCCATTGTTTTCGTCAAATTCCACTATTTATGACATTGACATGGCACAATCTTCGATTTCATAAAAACATGGTTTCATTCAATTAAGCCATCCAACCAATCCATGATATAAATTAATTCAATTCGGACGCATGGAGGTCGTGTTGAATGCGTGATATCTCAATTACTTACATTTTAATGCCAATCAATACCCTTCCTCCTTACCGATCAATTTGAAATATCGGATGATTATGATTCTCAATTAAATTAAGGTAGAGATCAGATAACTACTAAAAAGTAGTGCTGGATATGAGTCGAGTCGGGTCTTGGCAAGACTCGACTCGACTCGGAGGGACCAGTCCGTGGAAAATAAAATTAATTTTAAGGTTCAATGATTGACTCAATTTCCAACTAGTAGCAGGACAGGTTGGTTAAAGTTTAAGGAAACTTGAAGCAAATTAAAATAGATGAAATAAACACACCTGTAAATTTATAAATAAACATTTCTAAAGAGCTTTATGATGATTTCACTATTATAACATTATTATTCTAAAAAACATGTGTAATTTAGTTGAATTCCCTGTTATTTCCAATATTTTAAAAATTAAGTGTATATCGTAAGTGCGGACACTTGAGCATTGGGATTTTACAATCCATTTTACTTGAGATTTTTTTTTCAAGACGTATTAAAACTGTTAAAAAACTGAAATTAGGTCGCAATTTTAACCAAATCAAGCAGATGTAATCTGCCACCAAAATGTCGGGGTAAATGGATATTCTTCGGTAGTGAAATGTTGGTAGACTCGAGTAGACTCGCGAGACCTTTATCAGGACTTGAGTCCGTACTCGAGTCGACTCAAAATGTAAACACTCAGACTCATTTTCTAAACGAGTCTGAAAATTAAGACTCGACTCGACTCGAACTCAGACTCACTCGAGTCGACTCGAGTTTTTTGGACTCACGTCCAGCTCTACTAAAAACAATGCTCACTATCCAACCATTTATTAACTTGACAGGAAAAAAACAAACAGATAAAATTCCGCAATGTCCAGCCAGTAGTTTGACTTGACAGCAAATTTTGATCGATATTCCCATTTATCATATTTTGTTAAATTTTGCACAACAATCTCATTTACTGGAAGGGTATAAATAGCAACGCCTCTTTTTCATCCACACCAAGAAAGTAGTGGTTAACTCACTAAGTATCGATCGATTGTAAATAGGATTAATAAATAATGGCAACTTTTAAATTAGTTGCCGTTCTTTTATTCACCCTTTACTCCTCCTCAGTCCTTGGAGGCCCCCTCGAATTTAGCAATGTCACAAGGTAACAAGAAGAAAATGCAATGTCGAAAGATATTCATACAAAAATTCCCAATCAATCGATAGATAATCAATTCTGATCTAAATTTACGAAACGCCTAATTGAATACTTTTATTTGTAGCAATATCCCCGTCGAGGATGACTCCTGGAGGGAGAAAGCCCTCGCCGACATTGAAACCCATCGAAAAACTGACCTTCGCGTGACCCTGACCGACTCCAAGGGTCGAGCACTAACCGATGCGAAAGTTCATTTCGAAATGAAACAACAAGGCTTCCTTTTCGGCACATGTGTCGGCGTTCGACAACTCATGATCGATCTATCCACCTCGGCCCGCTTCCAGCAAATCATCCTCAACAATTTCAACACCATTGTGTTCGAAAACGACTTGAAATGGCCCCAGTGGCAAACCTCTCAATCCAACAATGACCAAAACCACCGGGTCAGCTGGACCATGGACGCGATTAACTGGGCCGCTCAGAGGAACATTAAAACCCGAGGTCACGCCATGCTCTGGGGTTCGTGGCGTTGGTCACCCTCCGATATCCCGAGGGACCCTCCCGGCCTGAGGGCAGCGATCGCAAACCACGTTCAAGACATCGGGTCACGCCTCCAAGGTCACCTAGTGGACTGGGACGTCCTAAATGAACCCTATTCTGAGAATGATTACACCAATTTGCTAGGGCTGGATGAGGTGATCACCTGGTTCAGGGCCGCTCGTCAGGCCGACGGTCAAGCCAAACTGTTCCTGAACGACTACCCCCACCCAGGAGATAGCAACTTTGTCAATTACGACACTGAAGTGCTCCGTCGCCTGGTTCAGGGAGGGGCCCCAGTGCAAGCCTTTGGGATTCAGGGGCACGTAGGCACGGAACCTTGGAACATTCAACAGTATCAGAATATGATGAACTCTTTCGCCAACACGGGGGTTGACCTGGCCGTTACAGAGTACGACACAGAAATCAGTAATGAACAGACGGATGCGAATTTCCTGCGGGATTTCATGCTTGCCACCTTTGCCCACCCGAGGATGAAGGAATTCCTTGTTTGGGGTTTCTGGGACAGCGTCCATTGGAAGGGACGTGCCCCCTTTTTCAGGGCCGATTGGACAGAGAAGCCTGCCCTTGTTGTCTATCGAGATTTAGTTTTCAATCAATGGTGGTCCAATGTAACGGGGAGAACGGATCAGGATGGATTCTATTCACATCGGGTATTCCAGGGGGAGTATGATATCCACGTGACTACGTCAGTGGGTAAGAGTCAGACCTTCAAGACTACCGTGTCCCATGGACAGACTGCTCAGTCACTTTCGCTTGTTCTTGATTAATTTTTCTAAATTTCGCCATTCGTAACCCAACAAAAATAATATTTACCATACTCCCACCACCATCCTTATCAAAAAGTAAAGTAAAAAATTGTGTCAATAAAGAAAAGAAATTAAAGTTGCAAATCTTTGTACTTTGAGGATTAAATTCTATTTCTTAGTTTTAGTTGTAATTAAAAAATTTCATAAAATTTAACCCTCACTTTTTACAACATGCCATATCATCTTACCCCTCACACAAGGCGCCAAGCCATACTGGAAAGAGTCAAAAAACATCTCTTGCGAAAGCTTCGTTGCCGTGGGATGATTTTCATTACACTGGCACCAAGACTTCTTCCCCAGTCTGGGATTTGGTACCGGGTCTGTAAGATCGAGAGAGTGTCCTCTCTAAAAACCGTACTGGGCAATGCATTAAGCGAAATGGTAATGCATCGAATTCTCAAAAAGCCCCCGCTTACTTTTTGGAGTACATTTTTGCACAATCTGGACACTTAGAGCGCAGGGACATGCTCATAAAAAATTGAAGAGCCACACCCACTTTGGGTGTGGTTTTTTCCTAGTGGGGTTAGAGTCAATCCACCAATTCCAACCTGTAGTGTATGCGATTTTACATCCAAGGTAAAAATTTCATCCAAATCCGTCCATATACAAAAAAGTTATTAGCCCGGGAACCTTGGCGAAAGGCAAAACATGACGAGTTTTGGGGGGTGGTTCTCCGAAGGGGGCAAATTTCCTAGGCTGAAAATGATTGGAAACGGTGGGCGCCACCCATTTGCACATAATCCAAGAGGAACGGAGCTTCGGAATCTGCACGTTTCCTATATAAAAGGCCGGGAACATTGGAAATAAACATGTCGAAATTGTCCAAAACGGGCGAAATTCAACATATCACAGAGCAGTGAAAATCGATATCTAGCTTCAGCTAGGTCTAAAAAGTGTGTCGCAAAACAAAATTTACCCATGTCGTCACGTCGTCAGAGAATGATGTCGACGTGTCGAAATTTCGTCATTGATCTAGAGCGCGCATATTCAGAACTAATACTCCCAAGACATGAAGAATACATATTCGGCTACTTTTGATCATGTCGCGACATGATCAAAATATATGGGCGCTCTATGTATGCATAAATACTATAAATATATGCACACTCTAAATAAAAGTTGTAGAAAATTATTGACCGGTGGGACTCAAAGGTCACTCGGCAGCAGAAGGACGTCAGCAGGTGATTAAACAGTTCAGAGCTCCACGCCTATGCCAATATACGGCGTGAGTAGTGAAAACTATTGTCGGCGGCGGCGCGCCGATTGACTACCAGGCGGGGGCGCGAGTACCTGATTTTAGGTCGATGATTATAAATATTTAGGGTTCTTAGATTTTTCACTTTTATAAGTTCTGAAAAACCACAAGAGCAAAATATGAAACTTAAATCAACAAAAATGCGAAAGCAACAATAGTTTGTTAATACTTTCGAAAAAGCAGATGTAATTTTGGAGCAGGTGCTTACTCGATTTTTGCCAGGCGTCAAAGTTTGAAAAGTTTTAACGCGTTAAGAAAGACCCAAAATTTTTGCCGGAGGATGATTTCTCCCACTAATCTCCTCTCGTAGATTTTCCATGGCCGCGCATGCTTCACTTATGGGAATTAAGCAGCAACCACCATAAAAATGTTGGCTGGCTGGTGATATCTTGCGTGGGGTAACATATCACAACAATTTTGCATAAACATAAATATTTTTAACGATGAAAGGCGGGAACCTTGAAATAAAATGAACATCAAGACTTGGATCATTCATGAAGACAAGGAGAAAAATTCACGATTTTCATTGGTTACCAAGCTTAACTTCGTCAACTAATATCAAAAATACAAAAACTGGTTGTGTATCTTAACAATAATACTCTGATGAAAATTTATCTTCACTTATCACATTATTTTTATTTTAGCAGAAAGCTTTAACAATTAATGCACATTTTGGAAATTAATTAGTAATCCATAATTTGAATAAAGGATGGACCAGAATAATTTGAATTTCCAGTAATTTAATTAAATCTAAAAAACTGTAAAATTGAAACCTGTGTTTCAAATTTTAATTAGTTAGATAATTTTTACATATAAATGTACATATCTGACAAGGGAAGGTTCCCAACTGTTTGTCGTGTCCAGGGTACCCACTATATTTTTCAGAATCTACAAGGGCCCTAGATGAAGGATCCATTCATATTTCCGTGTAAAACTCATATTCGGCGCCGTGGCGTGGCGCCAAACTTAAAACTCTACGTTTTCGGCCAATTTCAAACCTCCATAACTTTTGCAGTTTCCGGGGGATTTTCAAAATTTTCGGCTCAAAATGATCACAAAGGTCAAAATTTTAAGAAATAAATAAAAAATGAAATAGTTTTATTTTTTGATATTTCTTTTGCGAATCCCCAAGCGTAAGAAAATTCTAAAATTTTGAAAAAATTTGAAACAACAAATTTTTTGAAAAATTTCATGGCATACGAAAGTTGAACTCTTTGTAATGATTTTTGGAATTTTTTTTGAAAATCCGCCCAGGATTTCAAAAGTTATGGCGGTTTCAAAAACAAAAACATACAAATTTGGCGAATTTGACGCCACGCCAGGGCGCCAAACATGCGATTAACACGTAAATATGAATGGATCCTTCATCTAGGGCCCTTGTAGATTCTAAAAAATATAGTGGGTACCCTGGACACGACAAACAGTTGGGAACCTTCCCTTGTGAGTATCTTTATATCTTACATATGTACGTAACTGAGTTAACTCAAGGCGCACAGACGATTTTTTGCAATTACATAATCCGTACTTGTAAATGTGTACTAAATAATGTTCGGTGGGTCTCAACTAAAAAAAATATTAATTACGAAAATGATTAAGTATTTTAACGAGGCAATGTTTCCATAAAATTTGGCTGTTTTTTGTACTCAGCTTTACATAAGTAATTAATATATTTCTTCAAATTAGTCTGGCTACCGTAATCGATCTGACAACGAAAACTTCCGAGGTAATGTTATATCTAACTAGGAAACATAGGTTCGGTGGGACCCCGACCTAGCAATGTCACTGTAAGTATGTAATAACGCAGAGATGTAAATAGTTGCTTGAAACACATTTTCAACAGACCTGTAATCTTGTGTTTGTCTTAATAAGCGAAGTTCATCATCCAGAGGAATTTTGAAATCATTAAAAATTGCTGCAAAAATTTTAGGTCTTTCCAAACGCGTTAAAACTTTTCAGACTTTGACGCCAGTCAAAAATCGAGTAAGCACCTGCTCCAAAATTACATCTGCTTCTTCGAAACTATTAAAAAAACTATTGTTGCCTTTGCATTTTTGTTGATTAAAATTTCATATTTTGCTCTTGGGATTTTTTAAAACTTAGAAAAGTGAAAAAGTCTAAGAACAGTTAAAATAATGCTCCCACTCGATGGAATTGTAATTATGTCCACTCGAGATTGGTGGTGGAATAAGGCAGACTTAGCACAGAGGACTTGTTGGACAAAGGCAAGAATGGATGTTTATTCGTCAGAGGTGGAAATACAAGTCCCAGAGTCTCACTTGAGACTCCGAGTTTATGCCTCGGCTTGCTTACTCCCTTATTCCGGGAGAAAGTCAAGCCTTGGTTTACATGTTGGGTCACTAATAATATTATATTGATTCTCTTAACGCGGGTGGACATTGTATTTGAGGTTCCACTCCTCTTTTGCTCCGTCCTTTTGGTGTTCATTTTTGGTCGCGTGAAAGCGTGGTTGTGGCAGGGAAAGTTGTAGATGACTTGTGAATTTTATATTAATGTCTATGTGTAGATATGTGCCTATGGTTATCTGATATGTGGGGTTGATTATGCCCTATGTGGTATCTACCTAAAAGTAGGTCGGTTTGCCGGCGAATATGTAGTTCTGGCTTCACTCCAGAAGTGCAGATAAAGTGTGTAATGTACCCCTGATAAGTAACGATAAACTAAAACGGGGCCATAAATGAACGATGGAAATGGGGTCATGATGAGCACTGCATAGTGAATTGTGATTTTGGTGAGAGAGCTTGGACGGAGAGATATGTCGATGATGAAAGTTGTGCAAGTATTAATGCTGATTTCCTTGTGCAAAGCGGTGGAGCTACCTCTGCGGGATATGGACTTTTATGACTGCCTTCTGTGTCTTGAACTAACTGGTAAGTCGTAATTTGCGCTAAGTGGCATTACGTGATTTGATTGATTAAATAAGATTAGGCGGAGTGTACTTGGTGAAAAGTTTGGACGAGACTATTCAGGGAGGCGTTTGTATCGCCGGAGTTAGGTTGGTCTGTAAAAGTGTTAAGTATGAAGAACCATGCAGTCGGCTTTTTACGGCAGAGTGGGCTTTCTTAGAAGATTTGGCATGCAACGGTGAGGAAAAGATAATCTCGTGGTGGCGGTGTTGTTAACGGGGACGGTATGGTGTGTTTTAGGTGACGAGGATAATGTGGGAGCGAGACACTGCCCCGAAAAGTTCGAAGAGAGCTGGGATTTGGTAGTTAGCTTGTGGGGTATTTATGTGTAAAGTATTTTGAGCCAAATGAATAAAGATTATTTGCCCCCTAACAGTTGTTGTTGCTTTGATCTGCGGAGTAAAATAAATGTCTAACAGGAGAGCTAGAATGAGCGCAAAGAACGTCGCCCAGTCTGGTTTATGAAAGCGACGGTGATCGTTTGGAAAAAAATAGAGGAATAAGTAATGTTGTGTGTGCCACTTGTTGCAATGGAATTATTGATTTTAATTTCTACGGTGGGCGGTCGGTTTGTGCCAGAAGGTCGGCATATTGATTATTTGTTGCAGCATGGGCCCGAAATCGGGGAGGGATTTATGTGGTTAAGTGACGACGGGGTGAAAGTGTGTCAGGAATGTCAAGCTGGACTGGGTGAGCCCCTATGTTATCTCGCAACTAAGGAGAGTGGAATACCTACTGTGTTGTCAATTTTGACGGGTGTGCATGCAGGAAGGTACGTGGTGTTTGGCCCCGGTCTGGAGAGTGAAAGCTCCGAGGGTCTATGTATGACGAGTTTGCGGGAGGAACCCTGTCGTGTGGGACGAGGTTTAATCTGTCCTGGGGATTTGATGGGGTGTACCGGACCG